TTTAAGTTTCTATTTTTTATTAACTATATGTTTTATATTTTTTGATATTTTTGTAATTTTTTTGGCATTTTTTATGAATTTTCTGATTTTCTTGATTTTTTAGCCTTTGTTATTGTAATTTTGCACCTTGCTTAAAAAGGCGTGTGCCTCGCCTTGCACCTTGCGCCTCAGGCGCAAATTGGCCCTTGAGCGTTTTTTGCGCCTTGCGCTTTTAAAACATTACGTATGGGTGAGGTGTCTCTTGAAAATTGCCTAATTGCCTAGGTGTTGCATTGACAAGTTTGGAAGTGACAAGATATCACCTGAAAACTCACAACCCATACCCAAAACAACAAAAACATTCAAACACTTTGATTACAATCTTTTACTCCTCTAATCCTCTCACAACAGAGCAGAAAACACTACCAAGACCCAACAAAAACTTCAAAACACAGGACGATCCATTAAACATTCAAGACAAATCCAACCTTACTACCAAATGATTTTCCCCTTTCTATTTTTCCTTGTTCAACAAATATTTCTCTTCCAACATTCAATACTTTTTTTCCTGCAAAAGCTTCCCTCCATTAAAGTATAAACCCAACACTTTACTCTCTTGAAGTTTAGTTTCCACTATCTTATCTGGATCTGTACTTATAATTTTCTCACTTTGTCTAACTCTACCTCCTTGTTATCCTCCTTAGTTTCTTATTTCTCTTCCTCTAGATCATCTTCAACATCTTGAAACTCCATATTTAATGCTACATTTTCCTTGAGTGACTAGAATTTTCCTACTTTCCTACTCTGATTTTTTTCCATATGAATAGCGTTACAAATGATTTTATCATTGCTCTTAGTTCTAATTTTATCATTCAAAACCCCTTCCTCTTGTAATATCTTTTGTATTTACCACATGGTCTGATCCTAAAATGCCCCTCTTTCAAGCGATGAAAAACTTTTGTAACACAATGTAATTGACCGCCATTTGACCCTTTGGATCTTTTCAAGTTATCTAAAGAATCATCACTTTTGTAATTTTGTTCTAGTCCTCCAACACTTGCAGATTTTTACTTCCTAAACCCGCCCTCAACTTTCTAGTGAAAACCTAAGAAAACGAATCATTGTCCACCTTAGCATCAACCATCATGAAGTTTTTTAAAATCTCTGAGATTTTATCTCCTTTTTTCCCCAAAATTATTCATTTTCTTATGTTTTTTGACTCTCCTCGTTAAGGTCCTTCACCATCTCCACCTCTTTGGATCTTCACCCACCCCACTTGGCTTCCCATTTCTGTGATACTGACCCTTTAAACCAATTGTGCTTCCACCATATTGCACATAGGGGGACGACCAAGGAGAATACAATGTTTTTGTTGATGAATGAAAGGAGATTAGTATCTTTCAAAATTGAATCCTGTTTTTTGATCTTTGAATGCAATAGTTCCACCCATGATGTAACCTTCTGTAGATAGACTGGGCTGAGTAGGTCCTAGTGTCTATTTTATGTTTTAGTGGCAGGTTATTTATTTTGTATGCTAATGGAAGGGGATGAGGAAGAAGAAGAGGGTTTTATAATCACCTCTCTCTCCTCTCACTAATGTGGTTAATTACAAATCGGCCCTTAAGTGGGGCGTCCAACTAAGCATAAACTTAAAGTAACTTAAAAGAAGTTAACATGTCAATAAGATAGGCCCATTAGCATACAAAATAAATAACCTACTATTGAAACATAAAATAGACATTTGGGCCCACGCGTCCCAGTCTCTCTACATTCCCTCTCAAGCTAAGCATAGATGTCTATCATGCCCAGCTTGCTTATATAGTGTGTCTCTCTTTTGGAATACCTTTGGTCAAAACATCAGCCAACTTCTCTTTTGAAGAAATAAATGGCAAGCAAACCTCTCCTGAGGGAATTCTTTTCCGTGCAAAATGTCTATCAACCTCTATGTGTTCAGTTCTGTCATGTTGAACAAGATTATGTGCAATGTTGATAACAGCCTAGTTCTCATAGTAGAGCTTCATTGGTTTTTCATAGTCAACACCCAACTCTTCCAAAAGTTATCTCAACCACAATAATTCCCAAACTTCATGTGCCATTGCTCTGTATTCTGCTTCAACTGAGGATCTGGCTACTATAGATTGTTTCTTACTCCATGAGACAATGTTCCCTACCACTGAAGCACAATATCTTGAAGTGGATTTCCTACCATCAATACATCCAGCCCAAACAACATCAGTGTATGCTTCCAACTTTGTGTGTCCATGTTTGACAAACAGAGTACCTTTCCCTGGAGTGCCTTTCAAATAAGACAAAACTCTATTTGTAGTAACTAAATGTGTGTTTCTGGAAGAATGCAAAAACTGACTAATAACACTCACTACATAGGAAATATCTGGTCGAGTCATCTAGAGGTACAACAACTTCCCAAACTGTCTTTGAAACAATCCCCTATTAGGCAATAATTCACCATCAATGGTAGAGAGCTTCTGATTGGGATCTATAGGGGTGGAAGTTGGTTTAGCACCAAGTTTATTAGTCTTTGCAAGGAGGTCAAGAACATACATGCATTGAGAAATGAAGATACCATCCTTGGATCTATCAACTTCAATTCCCAAGAAATTTCTACGATCCCCCAAATCCTTGATTTCAAATTCGGAGTTAAGAATTTTGAGCTTGATCACTTCCTAGGTGTCATTACCGATTACCACAATGTCATCAACATAAACAATCAGAAAAGTCACCAAAGAGTTACTTCTTTTCAGAAACAAAGTATGGTCAGATTGGGTTTGTGTGAAACCAAAGGATACAAGAGCAGCTTGGAATCTCTAAAGCTAGGCTCGAGGAGACTGTTTGAGACCATAAATTGATTTATGCAGTTGACACACCTTCCCTTGCATTTCCGTTCCATACACCCATGGTGAAGGGGCCAATCAAAAGTAGCAGTTAGAGACAACAAACCTCGAACTGAAGTCATCTTGGCCATAGGAGCAAAGGTCTCAAGGTAGTCAATACCATACATCTGAGTGTAGCCTTTAGCAACCAATCAAGCCTTAAACCTCTCAATAGTGCCATTAGAATGGTACTTAATGTGAACACCCATTTACAACCCATTGGTTCTTATGCAAATCATCAAGTTCACTTCTTATAGCATCCCTCTATTCAGGTTTGGACAAGGCTTCTAGTATAGACCTGGAATCACATGGGTAGAAACAGGGGCAAGAAAAGAGTAATAGGTAGGGGATAGAAGGCTATAGGACAGGTGTTTGGAGATACAATGTGCTAGGGGTGAGCCAAAAAAAACCGAACCGACCGAAAAAACTAACCAGAACCAAACAAAAAAATAGGTTAATCGAACTGGTCGATTTAGTTTCGGTTTGACATTCTTAAAAAACCGATAGTTTTAGTTCGATTTTGGTTAATCATTTAAAAAAATCGGCAATTAACCGAACCGACCGATATATATACAGTAGAAGTTGCTGATAACAGTTTTAGATGAATTTCTTGTGAAGAAAAGTAGAAGTTGAAAGGTTTCAGTAGTAGAGAAGAAGAGAGGAGAAGAAAAGAGAGTGGGATGTTGCCCATAATAGAATTAGTTCTGGCAGCCAACCCCTCTTTGAATTATATACTTAAATTAAAAATAATGAGAGATTACAAGAATGCCCTTAGTAGGGCGGCTACTTAAGTAGCTGGACAGTCACAACTTAAAAACATAAGCTAATGGGCCGAAAGCCCAATAACTTCCTAACTTAACAACTTAAAAATAAAAGATAAGTAACTGGGCCCAATAACTTGAAATTGGCCCAACTTAACATATACAATAATATATATATATATATTTATATAATATTATATATTATATTTTTTATATTCAAAAAAGTTTGGCAGTCTGAGAGACGTTCAATTTCAGCCTTTCTCTTTGAACCAATTGAAAGTTTGGCAGTCTGCTAGAGTGTCAGACTGCCAGTCTCTCAGACTATGAGACTCAGTCTCTTGACTCTCTTCGAAACTCGGAACTTTTCACTCAAGCCTTTCTCTTTTGTCTCTTTGAAATTCGAAACCAAACCTTTTCCCACTCTCTGTCTTTTCTCTTGTCTTTCTAGTCTCTCATTCTCTTCTCAGTCTCTCTTACTCTTTTAATCTTCTTCGACTCTTAGTATTTCTCAGAAGGCCGTGCGACCCACGCCAACCACCAGCACCAAGCGGCAGTGCTGGTCGCCACCTCGCCGACAAGCAAGCACCAACGCCATTCAGTGTCGTTGGTAGTTTTGAAGCATCTGAAACATCTGTCGACTACTAGTGGTTTTGAAGCATCTAGGATCCTTCTCTTTCTCTCTCACCTCTGCTCTTTGCGGCTCTGCCAGCAACCACCGACAGTTTTAAAGTTTTTTATATTTTAAGTGCATAAAAAACTGGAAAACCGAACTGCAGTTAATTGGTCGACCGGTTAACCGGTTGCATCGGTTCGGTTTTGGTTTGGATATTTAAAAACCGATCAGGTCGGTTTGGTTTGAAAATATACCCCACGGTTCGGTTAATCGTACCGTGAGCACCCCTACAATGTGCTGTACATTTCTGCTTGCCTTTTCGAAGGGCAATAGGAGGGTCAAGGTCTGGGAAGGTAGGTGGGTTAGAGGAGGGCTGACCTGTTACCTCTGTAGTGATGGGAGGTGTAGGAGGCTTTGCGGAAGTTGTGGACAACTTGCCCATGCCTGAATCGTTGCTGATGGTACCACATTTGGAGCACATGGTGTGAAGGAAATGTAGGAGGATGAGCTGGAGGAGGAGGGGGAGCAGGAACATGTGGTGGATACACAGTGGAAGGGAGCATCAGAAGAAGATGACTTAGTAGGGGACTAAAATTTTGTCTTGCTGGTTAATTCTCAGTTTAGTTGTGTTTTTAACTTCAAAGCATTTTTGCTTGGTTAATTAAGGTTATGTTCTTTTGCAAATTTCTTATGAAATTCTAGCTTAAACAAATTTGTTAGTTTGTAGTTTAGTTTCTTATCTTTAATTGTTTTCAGGTAACCAGTGTTGGTATTAATACTGAATGGGGATTACTGATGGCTAGTATCTCAGAAGATACTGGTGAAGAAACACCATTGCAGGTTACTTTTCAGTCTTTCTACTTTCTAGCACGTCGGTTCTAACAATTCATAGATTACTTTGTTTGACTTTTTCCTATGAACCATTATAGGTTCGGTTGAACGGAGTTGCAACTTTTATTGGTATAGTTGGTCTATTAGTAGCGCTTGCTGTGCTGGTTGTCCTTCTGGCCAGGTAAGCCAGTATTCAGTGGCTTGATTTCTATTCTAATGTACTTCTGATACAGATAGTACTTTAAATTCAATTCCTACAGATACTTTACTGGACATACGAAAGATCCTGATGGGACAGTTCAATTTATCCGAGGGAAGACAAGGGTTGGTAAGGCAGTGGATGGGGCCATTAAGATTGTCACTGTGGCGGTATGTTCTCTTTGCATTGATATTAGGTGATTTTTCTATTCATATTTTGAGACAAAGACCAGTAATTTGAGAAATATCAGGTTACCATAGTGGTTGTTGCAGTTCCTGAAGGGCTTCCTTTGGCAGTTACCTTAACGTAAGCCTTTCTTTATTGTATCTCCTTTGGGATGTGTTGCTTATATTATGTAAACATGGACACATTCTTGTATTATAACTTTTTCTTATAAATAATTTGATGCAGCCTTGCATACTCAATGCGGAAAATGATGGCGGACAAAGCCTTGGCAAGTGTTGTTTTGAATTTCATGAAGTAACATGTAGGTGCTTTAAACTTCAAGTTGGTTGACAGAAGTTGAGGTGCAGGTAAGGAGGCTTTCAGCTTGTGAAACAATGGGCTCTGCAACTACAATCTGCAGTGATAAGACTGGAACATTAACCTTAAATCAGGTTGGCTTTGTGCTGTTTTTGTCGTCATAATATTTCCACCTTGAATTTTAAAGCTTGGGATTCTTATATTCTGATTCTGAGGGAGTGTTAATTTGGTTTGTGAATCCTATAAAATAGCCAATCTTGCTGTAAATTATATTTCCTTCATCTCCTTGTTTTTTAATTACTAAAGACCCTCTATAGTTTTGTTTTTGTTTTTGTTTTTTTTTTTTTTTTGCTTTAATAGCTATATTTTATTTCATTATAGATGACTGTTGTTGAGGCATACGTTGGTGGTGAAAAGATGGATGCTCCAGATAATGCTTTGCTGTTGTCTCCTACTCTATCTTCTTTACTTATTGAAGGCATTGCACAGAATACCACTGGCAGTGTTTTTATGCCTGAGGTTAGTTCTTACCTTGTTTTATATGTCAGTTGCAAGGAAATGTAAAGATAATCTTGATACCTTATCCCTTCTTTTTGTTAAATGATAATATATATTTTTTAAAGGATAATTACAAGACAAATACATCCCTAATTTAAAAAAATACATGCTTCAAGTAAAATGGAGATACAGTAATCTGCAATTTTAATTACTTCTAAAATTTTTGATTTCTCATTAAACTCTACTGAATATACTTTGTCATAACAAAAAGTCCTGGCATTGTTGAAGAAAATAGAGTCCAATTAGTGGAATGGGAAACAGAACTTTGAAGCTTTTAAAGGTCTCCTTATCAAAAAGACCTCCTTCCGTTGTTGAAGAAAATAGAGTCCTATTGGGGTAGTGATTGTTTAAACCTCCTTCCATTGGGGACCACAAATCCAATTACAACTCTCGCCACCTAACTTTTAAGGTTTCGTTATCAAGAAGTTAAGGAGCTACCATCTTTCTGTGAAACATAAACTGGAATAAGCCACTTTTGTTGTTCCAATACTTACAGGACGAAACCTGTGCCATTCTCTATGCATCCGATCTGCAATTCTCATCTGCTTAGGATGGTGTTTGGAACACTGGTTTTTCATGCTCAAGTGTTTCAACTTAAACCATTCTGCTTGAAGCTAGTTAGAGAGCTACCATTTTTTCAGATGCATTGGTGCCCTTAATTGCTGCACAAAAAGTGTTGTAGGAACAGTCCCAGCATTTAAGAAACGTGACTATGAGGTAGAGAGAAATTGGGTCATCGTACGTTAATTATCATTAGCAGTTTATTAATGTTATTTAAGATTTTAATAACTTCAAAGGGCATTCAATATTTTCTGTACTGCTTGTTTAGTATGACCAGTGTTTTAAAAGCACATGGAGCAAAAAAAACGCAAGGGGCAATTTGCGCTCTAGGCACAAGGTGCAAGGGAGGCATGCACCTTTTTGAAGCAAGGCGCAAAAATAGAAAAATAGTCAAAAGAATATCAGAAAATTCAGAAAAATACCAAAAAAATTAAAAAATTGCAAAAAAAAAACTATATTTAACATAATATTAATAAAAATATATACTTAAATTTTTGAATAAATATTTTAAAATACCTATCGTCTAAAATTAAAATACATAAACATAACATGTAAAGTGCATTCAAATGAAAATTTAAAATAAATTAAACATATAAAACATTTTCTGGCATGTTAAACCTTTGTTTCCTCAATTGCATTATTTCAAATAGCCAATGTGATGTAAAACATCTTTCGTTCCTGAGGCAAGCCCAAACAAATTCATGCTAGGGTCTTAAATTCTTAATCCTTACAAAAATAAATGGTTTTATAATGTCGATGGTCTTTTAAGAAGATATTTTACTAGGATGATTGAATGAACAACATTGGCATAAAAGAACGAAAGGCGCAAAAAATTAAAAAGGTGCATGCCTGGGTTGAAGTGCAAAGCGCACCAAATGCACTAGGCGCACACCTTTTGAAAGTGCTGCTCCTAGGACCTAGGCGAGGCACATACCTTAAAATGCGCCTCGCCCGAGTGCCTATAGGTGCACCTTTTAAATCTTCGAGTATGATGATGGTTGTTTTTCTTCTGGTGGTAATTTATTTGGTCCATGCTGGAAATATATAAATGTGGCATCTTATTTCATTTTTCATCATTTGATGCCGTTTATGAATTTTTTTTGATCAATAACCACAGATTTCATTAAATGGAAATAAACTTACAAAGAAAAGGAGCTAAGGTACCTTGACTAATGTGACTAACCACAAATTTCATCATTTGATGCCGTTTATGAAATTTGTCACATAGGGATTACTTTTTATCTGAGCATTTCTTTTGGTCTTTAACTCTTTACCCTTAAATACTTAGGCTATTCCCTGGGCTATTCATTGTTTTTGTAGTATGGTAGCTAGTTCATCTTCAATTTGGAAAAGTATTTATTAGTAGTTTGTTGTATAATCTCTATTAAAATCTGTTCCCCTTTACAGGGTGGTGGGGATGTAGAGATATCTGGATCACCTACAGAAAAGGCAATCCTTTATTGGGGTGTCAAGGTACCTTGATTAATGTGATTTTGTGGTTACCATCCGTTATATTTATATTTCTTGACCTGATATTATTACTTTGACCTGTTTTGTAGCTGGGGATGAAGTTTGATCGTGTCAGGTCTGAGTCATCAATTCTTCATGTATTCCCTTTCAACTCGGAGAAAAAGCGTGGTGGTGTTGCAGTACAACTGGTAATTCATCTTTATTCACTATTTGTCCTTGTTTTTTATGTTTAGTCATCTTAGTAATGTTGGGTGGTTTTACTTAATGTTTCTCATTGATGCCATGAAGTCTGATAGTCTGATAGTTCTTATTATTTGTTTCTGATTAATAGAAGAGGTACTGCACTTAGGAAGAAGGAAAATAAATCAATCAAGGTGTAACATTATAGTGCAATAGAAAATATTACTTTCAAATATACATAATATAATGCAGCAGCATGGAAGATATTGTTTATGCTTTGATTGCTTAACCTGCTATTGGCTTTGGATTTGGATGACTTGTATGTACAAGAATTTCATTAATGTTTTTTTTTTGGGTACTGCTTGCTACAAGTGCCAAGAAACTTTCATTCTGTGTCAAGTTGACATTTTCTTTGATTCATTTTGTTGATTTCATCCTGTAGTTATTCTAATTCATGATGAATGCTCATCTTTTTATTTTCAGATGAGAAGAATGTTGATTAATTCTGTAATTGCATGATCGTTTCTCTAGATATTCTATTGAGCAAGAGAAAGCTAAAATTTTGCATGTTTGCGTTCACTGAATTTGAAACCTATGCTTTGACTAAAAATTTCCAACATATTTATTTATGTTTTAGGGTAATATTTTGACAGTAAGTAATCCATGGGCATGGGGGGGGGGAGTATCCAGGTTTTTGAGCATGTGACTTTATTTAAAGCTTGTAATTGTATGCATGCATTTTTGTTGCCTCGTTAGAATAGATGTTGGTATTTGTATCTTTGACATATATACTTCTCTCTACATAGTATTAGTGTGTGGTGCAGATGCAGGCACTTACCTGACATTTATTGAATTAGCAGGCTTTCTTGCAGTCACTTTCACATTGACCATATTGCAGATTGTGTGATGATCATGCTAATAAAATTTTGCTGTTTCATTTTATAATTGCAGCCTAATTCTGAAGTTCATATACATTGGAAAGGGGCTGCCGAAATAGTCCTAGCTTCATGTACAGCATATTTGGACAAAAATGGTTCTAGGGAACCAATGGGTGAAGATAAGGCAAGTCATCTGTTAATGAGCGTGAATTTTTGGACAAGTTGGGAGCACTCTTTAAAAATCTTCAAATTTCCATCACTCCGTTGTTTTACTCTCTTCCTTCTTCTCTTTCTCAACTAAAATTAGGTCATTTGTTTTATAGAAGTCAATTAGAACTAAATTTTTCAAGTTTATTATGAAAGCAAATTGCAAATATTTTGGTTTTATGATTGTATCTAAAAGCCAAACAATTATTTATGTTATTTTCCCTTGTTCTCAAGTTTCCTTGTAAATAGTGAAAATTTTTTCCATTTAATCCCCGGGTAGGAAACCAGAAAGAGACTTTGTTTCTATTGTGTTCAGATTATAGTATGTGCATAGCATATATTGTTGGAAATGCAACTTATCTGAATTTTGCATCCAATACCTAGTGCAGCTATATGATTTTGTGGTTTTCATATTTGGGTAGCAATAATTTCAACAAGATTTTCCATTGTGAACTCAAGGTTATATCAACTTTTACTCAGATATCCTCAATAAAATAATTGTCTCTACCCCTTTGGCCCTTCAGGATAAAGCTTTTAGGAAAGCTATTGAAGATATGGCTGCGGGTAGCTTGCGCTGTGTTGCTATTGCTTATAGACCATATGATTTGGATAATGTTCCCAAGGAGGAAGAGGAGCGAGCAGGATGGCAGTTACCTGAGGATGACCTAATTTTGCTTGCTATTGTAGGCATAAAGGTAAATGTGGTCATTTGTATTTCCCTCGATACTGTGGTTGTTTTTCCTCCATAATTAAAATTTAATACCTGATACTTTTTGATAATATTGAAAAACTCATTCCATGATCCACTTGTTCTGTAATTGGTCGTGTTCTGTATTTCTTCTTGTAATGTTTGCTATGCATGTTCTTTCCAATTCCTTTAACCCCTTTGTCTTGTTTTGGATGTCTTTTGGTAAATTTGTGCTGACCAACATATCCTTGAATTGGTCATATCTAGCATCTTCGTTTTTTGCTTAAGCCCATTTATTGTTCCAATCCGTGTATAAACCTACACCATTTATTTTATCTTGCATTTGATTCTCATTTCCCGAAAGTGCCTGTTTTTTTCTCAATTTCTTTCTTGTCTGAGCAACCATTTTAACCTTCTTCCTTTCGTAAACCCTTTTGAACTTTTTGTAAGGCCCAATTTCATATAAATGGTAAATCACATCCTAACTTAGAAAATATTTTTGTAATATGAACTGAAATTTGTTTTCTTTTTTTCTGTCCTTTTAATACATTACATTTTCCCATGATGATACTCATCCCTACCTATTGGTCCTTTGCTGAAAATTCTTCAACATTAACATTATTAAATTTTATAATAGTTCTCTGCGACAACTTTCTCTTATTTCTGAAATCAACTCCTATCTTACCAATAGAAGCTTTGTAGACAATCTCCCTTGTTATGCCTTCTGGTGTTGAAATCATCTAAAAAGGAGACCGCATTTTGACCTACTTCATGACTGTTACTCAATTTTGTTGCCGAAGTAAGGCTGGATGGTGGAATAGATTTAGAAGCAATCAAACTACCATCCACTATGATGCTCATGCAATCTCAATGGGTGCTGGACCAGCACAGTAGTACTTCATTGACACACAAGCACAGTTGTTCATTTAGCTTCTCCTATCCCTGACCCTTTTCATTAGAGGTTAACACTATTAATTAGAACTTACAAGTAAGCCCTTAGTTGGGTTGCTAGCTAATTAAACGTAAACCTAAACAATTGTTAACAGGCTGATAAAGAAAAGGCCCATTAACAAAACAGAACATAAACATAAAATTAAAACATAAGCTGTGGGCTATGGGCCATTTGGCCCATCTTCTCTACATAATCCTCTGTACCTCATGACCTCTTTCATCCTCAATGTTTAGAGGAAGAATCTTGATCATGCCCCAAATGTTTGAAACATACCTCAACCTCCTTCCCGTGAGAGGTCGTGGCTCCTCCCCTTTTCCTATGTAATTAGAGCTTTTCAATTTCCTTTGTTGCTTATAGAACTTTTAGAAGACTCCTCCCATCTTCTAAAACTACCGTGCTGCCCTCCATGATCAAAACCAAGATTAGAATCCCAATGGCAACAATTTAACTCAAACTCCATGTCTGACCTGGCCCCTCATGACTTAAACCTTGTTGACCTGAACCAACCTAGCCTGGCATCAAACTTTTTACAACCTCGACCATTGCTGAAGCTCCTTAATGGCCTGGATTTCCTGCCACTAAACAAATCTTTACCTTGTCTAAACTGTTGAATATAATGGTTGATTAAACAACTTTTTATTCATGAAAACTCGGCCTATTTTATTATTGTAGTTCAACAAAGATGAAAGAGAGAATAGAAGAAGGAAGAGAGAAGAAGTATTCTATTCTGTATATTGTAAGGTTGGTGGCGCCTAAGTTTTATATTTATACTTGGGACGACAACTTATAACAAATAAGAGAGGAAAAACCAAAAATACCCCTATGATAGTACATTACATGTTGCAACACTCCCCCTCAAGTCGGAGCATATATGTCAATCATGCCTAACTTGTCACACAATTCATTATGTCGCAAATAGTGAAGACCCCTCAAGTCGGAGCATATATGTCAATCATGCTTGGTCCTGTCATGAAGAACTGGATTGGCTGCAATATTAATGGCTGGTTTGTTGTCACAATAGAGAGACATTGGACCATCAGCAGAGAAGCCTAACTCTCTAATCAAATTTTTTACCCATAGCACTTCAGCAACTCCATGCGCCATGACCCTATACTTGGCCTCAGCACTAGACCTGGCCACTACACTTTGTTTTTTGCTCCTCTAGGTGACCAAATTTCCACCAACAAAGGTACAATATCCACTAGTTGATTTTCTGTCATCAACCGCTCTGACCCAATCTGCATCTCTGTAGATTTCCACTTTCATATGACCATGTTTCTTGAATGGTAACCCAGTTCATGGATATTTCTTTAGATATCTGAGTACTCTTTCAACTGCCTCTAAATGGGAGGATGTTGGTGCATGCATAAACTGACTAAGGACACCAACAACATAAGCTATATCGGACTGGGTCATTGATAGGTAGAGAAGTCTTCCTACCAACCTTTGAAACTTCTTGATATCTGTCACTGGTTCTCCAGTACAATCAACAAGCCGATGGTTTTCATCAATAAGGGAGTTTATAGGTTTTGCTTTTAAATTTCCTATGTCTTGCAAGAGATCTAGGACATATTTCCTTTGAGAAATGAAGCTGCCCTTTTTAGAGCGGGCAACTTCAATACCAAGGAAATAATGTAGCTGTCCCAGATCTTTCACCTCAAACTGTACATCAAGGGATTCTTTAACCTTTTGAATCTTAGAGTCCTAATTCCCTGTATTCAGAATGTCATCAATGTAGACAATCAATACCACAACATTCTTCCAGTTTCTTTTGACAAACAGAGTATGGTCAGATCGACACTGCTTGAACTCAATTTGTTGAAGCACCAAGTGAAATTTGCTGAACCAGGCCCTTGGGGATTGTTTCAAACCGCATAAAGATTTTTTTTTTTTTTTCCGTTTGCAAACTTTCCCTTCACACCCTTATGCTACAAACCCTTGAGGCTGAATCATGTATACTTCTTCAAGATCCCCATTCAAGAACACATTTTTGACGTCTAGTTGGTGGAGTTCCCAATCAAAGTTAACAGCGAAGGATAGCATAATCCGAATAGTCTTCATTTTTGCAATTGGGGCAAATATTTCTGCATAATTGACCCCATACACACGTGTATACCCTTTTGCAACTAACCTGGCCTTATACCTCTCAACCGACCCATCTACTCTGTGCTTTACTGTGAATATCCACTTGCACCCTACTGGATCCTTGCCTTTAGGAAGACTCACCAACTCCTAGGTGTTTGTGTAGAGCACAAATTTCTTCTTTCATTGCATCTGCCCATTCAGGTATAGGTAAGGATTTTACAACACTTTTGGGAATGGAAACACAATCAATGGTAGTTAGTAAAGCACGAAATCAGGGTGCGATGTGTTCATAGGACAATAATTGGGCAATAGGATGCTTAGTAGTACATGATCTAACTCCTTTCCTATGAGCAATTGGGACATCAAGATCATTGGTAAAATCATCAATAGCAATAGGTTTAGTAATGTCAAGGGGAACAAGGGTACCTAGATTTTCCTTCAAGGAGTCAGATGATGTTGGATGTGTAGTTTCTAGCTGCTCCATAGCCTTTAAATTCATCTGTCCCTTTCGATTGAATGGAGAGGAGTCAGGAATAAAGGGAAGAGAAACTTGAGGAACTTGCCTCTCCTCCTCCACACTATTCTCCCCCTGAGGAGAGGCTTGGAAGAAGGATTCAGATTCAAAAAAGGACACATCCATCGATACAAAGTACTTATGTGTGACAGGATTAAAGCATTTGTAGCCCTTCTGGGAAGATGGATAACCCAAAAAAACACATGGAATCGACTTGGGGTCCAACTTATCCCAGTTAAGAGATAGGGCATGAACAAAGCACTAACAATCAAACACATGTAGAGGAATAGAAAATAAAGGGGATTAAGGGAAAAGAAGTTGTTGTGGGGCCTTGTATTGCAAGAGGCGTGATGGCATTTGATTGAAAACATAAGTTGCGGCCATCACAACATCAACCCAAAATCGTTTTGCAACATTCATGTGAATCATCATACTACGGGCAACTTCAAGAAGATGTCGGTCCTTCCTTTCGGCAATACCATTCTTTTATGGTGTTCTGGCACATGAACTTCTATGAAGAGATCCATGAGAGGAGAAAAATTCAACTAAGTCATGATGAAAGTATTCCTTTGCATTATCCGATTGGAAAATTTGAACTTCAACATGAAATCGAGTTAAGACCATGCAACGCAAATCTTTCACAATTTTGGGTACTTCTCTGGAATGCATAGGATATATCCAAGTGTATCTCGAATAATCATCAATAAAGCTGATAAAATACTTATACCCACCCTCAATAGGTATGCTCACAGGGCCCCAAACATTAGAAAAGACAACATGGAAAGGCAAAGCAGATCTTTTATTATTTGATGGGAAAGTTGTTCTACAATGCTAACTCAATTGACATGTTTGACAATGTTAAACTAGTGCTAGACACATACTTGAAAAGTTTAGGGAACATAACTTTGAGAGACTCAAAGGACAAATGACCAAGGAGATTATGCCACAACCACAATTGACTTTTTGGAGATTGACTCATTGATTGACTCATAAGACTCATAGGAGTTGATGCTGCAGGACCAACTTTATTCTCCAAGATGTAGAGGCCATCAACCATATCTCCTTTACTAATCGTCCTCCTTGAGGCTAAATCTTGGAAAACACAAGAACGAGGGGAAAAGGTTATGCAATAGTTTAAGGATTGAGTAATACTACTTATGGATAACAAATTAATAGGAAGTTTGGGAACATGAAGGGCATGGGGTAAAACAAGGCCATTAGGAAGGGATACAGATCCCTGACCAGCAATAGTGGATAGAGACCCATCAACAAGTATCACTTTATCCCTCCCAGAGAGAAGAGTGTAGGTCTGAAATAAATTTGACTTACTAGTTATATGGTTTGATGCCCCTGAGTCAATGATCCAAGGTGACTCAGGAGTAGAGGTGCACAGATGAAATGCAACACTTTTACCTGATGTAGAAGCAAATGAAGTAGAAGGGGTAGGAGCTGACCTATCCATTTGTCCAAGAGTCCTACCATACAGTTCCAAATGATCTCTGAAGGAGTTAGTGATGTCTTCGTTGGGAACAGAACCACTAGGATGCTCTTGGGAAATTCCAGTAGTCAGATTATTTGATTGGTAATCTTGTGCAACTAGATTTGTAGGACTAAATTCCACTTGGGCTTCCCCACTAACTCTCATCAAGTCTCCCGAGTATGTCTAGGCTTTTGGCAGTGAGTGCACCATAGTTTATCCTTGTCCTCATTTTTCCTTGATTCTCCCTTTTTCATTCCAATGTTACCCCCTCTTGCAGCCAGAGCAACAGGTTGCTCCCCCTCGAAAACTTTCATTAGATTCTTTTTCCTCTCAGAAACATTCATTCCAATGTTACCCCCTCCTGAATAGAAGGAAGTTCCCTACTTCCTAAAATCTGTACCCGAAGAGGTTCATAAACAAGATTTAGCCCCAACAAGGAAGCAAACACTCGCTGTTGGAATAGAAGGAACTTTTTGTATGCTTTTGCATCCTCATCATTCTTCCACTCAATAGTCTGATAATAGTCCAGCTCCTTCCATTACAGAGGTAAGGGCTGAATAGTATGTAGATAGGTTGCAGTCTCCTTGCTTACAAGTAGATGATTCTTCTTGAAGATGATAAATCTTGGCAAAATGCCTATGTTTAGAATAGGTTGCCTTGGCTTGTTCCCAAATTTCACAAGTTGTGTCAGTCCATATGAAATTTTTGTTTACATGAGGCATCCTGGAACCTAATAGCCATGACATAACAATGCTGTTTTCTTGATCCCATTGATCATGCTCAGCTGTACCAGACTTTGGTTCTTTAATTTTTCCACTTATGTAACCGGCCTTTCCCCTAGCTGTGATATAAAGTTTGATGCCTTTGGACCATTCCGGATAATTTAGGCCATTAAAGGGGGTAATAGGCATAGAGAAATTCATGCTGTCCATTCCCCCATTAAGGTTTCCTTGATGGGAAGTAATACCAGAGGTTGCTGAATCCTCAATAGCCATTTTTCCCAATATTTTACTGCTGATTTTTAAAGAAAAAAGGATTGAGACAAACGTTCTGTACTTCTACAGCACTGTTGGGAAGGCAAACCAGCCAGAGAGTAACACACTAACCAAGCTATAGCACTGTAGTTTAAGAGGACTCCAAAAAAAAGAGGTTCAGCTGGACTGTAGGTCTATAAATCCTTTTCGAAACACTTCAGCTTATAAGAGGAGTAGTCAGCCCCTACAACCTCAAACTGTGACATTCACGGTAGTCATATGCTTAAATATGAATGTAACAGTACATACCTGGGGCACAATAGTAATTCCACGACCTACAGTTCATAAAAAAACCCGGAGAAAACCCTAGAAAAACTGCTTACTGCATTCGGCTGCCACCACAGACCTCTTCTTGGTACAACAACCAAGAGAGAAAAGAGAATAGAAAAAACGGAGACTGAAGGGCTAGGTCAGTCCAATGGAGTCTTCTCTTCTTCTTCTTCCAATCAAATAATCCAGTTTCAGATGGAGAACACAAACTAAGAAGGTTGCGCCCAGATCAGAGCTCTGATACCATGTAGTTCAGCAAAGATAAAAGAGAGAATAGAAGAAGGAAGAGAGAAGAAGTAATTCTGTTCTGTATATTGTAAGGCTGGCGGCGCCTAAGTTTTACATTTATACTTAGGGTGTCAGCTTATAACAAATAAAAGAGGAAAAACCAAAAATACACCTACGCTAGTACATCACATGTTGCAACAATTATTTAAGAAACATCTCTTACATGTTTGTTGTTGGGGACATCTAACTCTTCTTCTTCCTTCCGAAGGACATACATGTTACCCATTGACAACCTTATTTACTATTCTTCTTATAGAACATCCTTTTTTACCCTTTTTCTGACTGTATATTCCCACCCAACAGTGATTTTCCAATTTTTCTGTCCTTAAATGCCTCGTTATCGTCCTCCTGATCACATCCAGTCTTTGTTACTCTCCTTCTCTTGGATCTCATCTTCTCTGGTGATATCTTCTTCATTGAATATTTCTAATCTGGTATTTTTCTCCCACCAACCTCAAGTCAGCATCCAAACGGATAGAGGACATATCAAAGTCTCCACAGTGTATTCTTCTTGTCAATAGTGGCAAATCTTCCAATTGTATCTCCTATCCGTCTTGTTCTTGGATTGACAAACCTGTGGAATTTATCCAAATTATTATTGAATACATGTCTTTTCTGATACAACCTACTAAGGATGACCAACAACCCAAGTGGAATTCTGGTAATCTGTTCTGGACAGTTCCCGTCTAAGAACATTACCAGTGTCTTTCTTTGTTCTTTGACAGAACAGAAACAATTTGCCATTCCAACATCCTGACCTCAACTGGATGTCCCAGGCCCCACTTCTGTGATGCTCATAGGGAAAGAAACTCCTCTGGATCTACCCTTATTTATCTTCCTAACAAAAATCAATCTAGCAAGTCCAGTCTATGCTCTAAACAGCACACTACATGATAGCCATGACCCCTACACGGTGTTCTAACTCAGTCTCATTGGTTCTTTGATTCCCTCTCCATGGAATGTAAGTTCTCCCCAACATCCATATAAGCTACAAAAGTTTGCATTTCTTATGTGTTTTCAACTTATTTTTATTTATTTGATCTTTAAATTTATTATTATTTGAGTATTTTAGGGACTTGTAAAAGTTTTCCCAATGTATAAATGTGTATTCATTTCTTTCCACCATATCTCCATGTGTATCCAAAGCGTATTGTGAAACATATCCGTATCCAAGCTTACTGCTACAATACAGGATACTGATATGTTGAACCTTGGTTTTGAATGGTATGACCTAGGCACCATGGAAAGTTGTTAGAGCCTTGCCAATGGCTTTCACTTCTTTTATTCCCCATAACAGACAATATGAAGTATCCTTACCTTATACTATTTTTATATTATTTTGTTTCTTGTGAAAGGTGGATGTTAACTACAACGTGTATGATCAGAGGAAAAGAGAATCATATTAAATGAAATGAAAAATTGGAGCCTATACAATGGCATGAGTTTCAAGAGGTAAACACAGAGTAAGATATTGAAGACGCAAGAAACCATAGCAAAGGACCATGAATAACCTCACTTTCAAATCCTTCAAGTAAGCTCAATTTCTAGTGTTGTCTGACATTTGTTTATATTTGAAATCCAATGGAATCACATCCATTGAATTTTGATTATACTCAGATCGGATTCAGCTATTGAAAAGCATGAAGAATTGAAAGTGAAAATTATCTGAATATTATATAGTGATAACAAATCAATCTAAAAAATTGTTTTCATATGGTATTATTATGAAAGAAACGATGTGATAATAACTTTCCTCAGACTATAATATATGACTTGAAAAGCCAACATATATAAAGGAACATTTTACTCGTTTTTTTTTTGATCAATAAAGGAACATTTTACTCGTTGGTGGACATAAACCATTCAAACTAACTTAACTAATAGATGCATAATAGTTTACATAGATATAAGCGTGAGAAAACATTATGAGAGTAGAACCTATGACATGAAAAGCCAATATATATAAAAGAACCTATGACTCTTTAGCGGACATGAACATTCAAACCTACTTTACTGATAGATGCCTATTGATTTACATATGTATATATACATATACATACATACATAATTGCATCAAATTCAGATCACTTTAAGTGGAGTGAATTTGAGTTTGGACAAATGGATACCATATGCAGCCTTAACTCACTTGGATAAGATCTTTAGCCTTGATACGAGAAACCCAAGGAAATTAGATAAGAAAAAAATTACTTCAAATATTACATGCAACTTGTCTGTTTTTTGATCTTTGGTTTGGCTTCCAAATTTCTTTTGCTGATTCTCATGGTCTATAATTATATTCTTGTGTAGGATCCATGTCGACCAGGTGTCAGAGATTCAGTACAATTATGCATTAATGCTGGTGTTAAGGTCAAATTATACTTCTCCATTTAAATCTATATGTTCTGCTATTCCTCTAATTAGCTTCTTGTTTTATTTTTTGATATATTCCACATGGTGGAAATTTCTGGGTACTGGTGTGATGCATATACTGTATTTTGTTATATGAATAATAAAGCAAGAAAAGCAGACTAGAGCATATATAACCATTAAGTTTAATTTTCTTAGGATGTCGTCCAACTTACCTTGGACGACTCCTTAAATCGGCTAGTTGTTTGTCTTTATATATGGTAAGTATAGTTCCTTAGAAGCCACAATTTTTGATAAAATGTCTTTTAACTTCAATGTGTTTCTTTGATCATGATGTACTGATTCGAAAGCAATATTTATATCCTTATGATTTTTATCATGACAATTTAACTTTGTAGGATTGGGAATGACCACCTCCAACACTATTAAGTAAATTCTTCAAAATTAACAACTTAAAGACCCTATGAGTATGAGGGTTTGTCCAATATTTTGCCTATGCTCTATTTTGAGCACAAAACTATTGATTTTTACTTGATGTCACAAGGATTACCTAATTACTATTGCTTGAGGTAGATCTTTGTTATGGGCCCGCGCGTAGGATCTCGTCATGGGTCGGTCCACGGGGAGAACCTCTTGCTTCCCCTTGCGCCTTACCTTGCGTGCAGACCCTATTGTGGAAAACCGAATGGGTGATTTGTCCAAGAGACCACCCGAACTCTCCTCACTCTTCTCTTAACTGGAGATTGAATGCTTTATTTCAATTCACAACTCCTTAAATAGGAGATTACAAGAGGGGGTTCCTTATTGTATTCGACTAGGCTAGGATAATCCCTCTCTAAATCAAACTCAAACTCCTACTTCTAATGGTAAACAAACTCCTACTTCTAGTGGTAAACAAAACTCTTACTAAGAACATAAGATAAGATAAGGATAGATGGGATAAGGGATAAGGTAAGCTGGTGGCGAGTTCGCAAGAAGAGTTGTCGTGGCAAGATAAGTGTGGGCCCCCTGATGAGCTATCGTGTGGGCCCCTCCTCATTGCTGCTGCTACCGGCGGCGGCGGTAAGTCTTTCCCACGAATGCATCCATAACATCACATCCCTCCTAGGCAACGAGCTTTTCCTCAAGCTCGAGATCCAGATAGGCGTTGTGAAGATCAGACCAGGGGATCCAGGTGGCCTCCGCTGATGGTAGTCCGTCCCACTCCACAAGCACCTCTAAGGTACCCCGACTGATTCGGGACTGGACAAGAGCCCGAGGTCGGAGAATGGGTCTGCCGTCCTTCAAGGGGGGTAGGGAAGGTACTTGATCATGAGGAGTCCCTGTAAAAGACTTGAGTAGGGACACGTGGAAGGTATCATGGAGTCTGTTGTGTTCCGGTAGCTCGAGCTGATATGCAACCTTCCCGATCTGTCGCAAAACCCTGAAGGGCCTGTAGAATTTGGGAGCCAGCTTAGGGGAGGCTTTGCGTCTGAGGGAGAGCTGTCAATAATGTTGGAGCTTCAGCCAAACAAACTGTCCCGGCTCGAAGGTGACTTCTCGGTTGCACTGATCATAGGCGTTCTTCATGCGTGTCTGAGCCTGCTGTAAGCGCAAGGAGACTTCGGCCAGGAGGGCATCACAATCTTGTAGGCTGCGATTCACTTCTTCTAACCGTGTTGAACCGGGTTCGTAAGATAATAGACGGGGAGGGTCCCGACCATAAATAACCCGGAAGGGAGTCATGCCAAGAGAGGAGTGGTAGGACGTGTTGTAACAGTATTCGGCCCACGGATGGTACTCCACCCAATGCCGGGGCTGGTCTCCCACAAAACAACGGAGGTACATCTCTATTGTTTGGTTGACCACCTCCGTTTGGCGGTCAGTTTGCGGATGGTAGGCGGAGGAGAAGGCCAGGGTTGTTCCCTGCAGACGAAATAGCTCCTTCTAGAAGGTGCAAGTAAAGATCGGGTCTCTGTCACTTACGATGGATTCGGGTAGCTCATGTAATCGGAAGATGTGGGTGAAGAAGGCGTGGGCAACTGAAACCGCGCTGTAATGGTGGGATAAGGGGAGGAAATGCACATATTTGGAAAAACAGTCCACCACCACAAATAAGACCGACTTTCCCTCCAACTTTGGGTAGGCCCTCAATGAAGTCCGTGGAAATATTTGCCCAGATTGGAGTTGGGAGTGCAATCGGTTGGAGAAGGCCTGCTGGGTGCAAGTTTTCCCACTTTTGCTGTTGGCACATAGAGCAGTTCTGAATGAAGTCCCGCACCAAAGCCTTCATACCCTACCAGTGGAAGTCAGTGTGGATGCGGTGCAATGTTTTTTGGACACCTTCATGCGTGGAGTTGTGTATACTGGAGATGACGGAGGGGATTAAGGGACAGTCGGTTGGGAGATAAATCCGTCCTTTGTATAGTGCCAACCCGTCGTGCACGGACCAGTTTGGGTTGGTCGTTCTGGCTTGTATTTTCTTGACCAGATCGTTCCACTCCAGTGATTGTGGCAGTTTGTTTTGAATGTCTTCTAGCGGGATGGCTCGGGGCTGTGAGATCGCATGGAGCAGCATATTGTCTTCTTCTCGGCGAGACAAGGCATCTGCGGCATGGTTCAAGGTTCCCGCCTTGTAGTCCACCCGGAAATCGAACCCAAGAAGTTTGCTGACCCAATGCTGTTGCGGCGAGGTGGTAAGCCGTTGTTCCAACAAATATTTGAGGCTGTAGTGGTTCGTCTTGACGACGAAGGATCCTCCCCACAAGTACGGCCTCCAGTGTTGCACTGCTTTTTCCTGTCCAATCAGTTCACATTCGTAAGCGGGTAACTTAAGGTGGCGGTCGGCCAATTTGCGGATGAAGAAGGCAACCGGATGGTCTTGCTGCTGTAGTATGGTGCCGATGCCGGTGCCGGTGCCGGATGCATCGCATTCCACAGTAGATTCGAGATCAAAGTTTGGCAACTGTAGAACCGGCGTGGAGGAGAGGGCTTCTCTTAAACTTACAAAGGTTGCATCAGCTGTACTGTCCCAGAGGAAGGCATTTTTCTTGAGCAAATTGGTTAGTGGAGCCGCCAAAAGTCCATAATTTTGTACGAACTTTTGGTAGTAGCCTGTTAGCCCTAGGAACCCGCGGAGAGCCTTGGAGGATTGCAGTCTGGGCCATTCCTTGATCGCCTAAATCTTGGAGCCATGCACAGTGACCCCTTGCACGCTGATCACATGTCCTAAGTAAAGGACCCGGCGTTCCCCAAAGGAGCATTTGGATCGCTTAAGTAAGAGTTGGTGTTGTTGCAGGAGTTCAAGAACGATCCGTAGATGCTGCACGTGTTCTACTCACGATTTGCTATAGACTAGGATGTCGTCAAAGAACACCAAGACGAATCTCCGGAGGTGGGAGTGAAATACCTCGTTCATCAGGGCCTGGAACGTGGAAGGAGCGTTGCTGAGACCGAATGGCATAACTAGGAATTCGAAATGGCCATGATGTGTTCTGAAGGCTGTTTTCTCTACATCTTCGGGAGTCATTCGGACCTGGAAGTAACCCGACCGGAGGTCTAATTTTGAGAAGTCTTGTGCGCCATGGAGCTCGTCCAATAGCTCATCTACGATGGGGATAGAAAATTTAACCGTCCGGCTGTTAAGTTCTCTGTAGTCTACACAAAATCTCCAAGTCCCATCTTGCTTGGGTACCAACAGAACCGGAGAGGAGAAGGGGGAGCGGTTGGGACGGATGATCCCCTCCTGTAACATGTCCGCGCATTGCCTTTCTATTTCATCCTTCTTTTGATGTGGGTAACGGTAGGGTCGAACGACGACAGGATCCATTCCGGCTATTAGAGGGATCCGATGATTGCAGGCTCTGGAAGGTGGGAGCCCCTTGGTTTCTTTGAATACTGTAGAGAAATCCGTGAGGAGCCTCTCCATATCTGTTGCGCGTGAGTTCTCACCTTGAAGTGTGTGCAGCTGCGTTTTTGTTCTTATTCTGGTTCCCTGCCATGTAACCAGTTTCTCATCCAGGTGGAAAGTCATTGTCAAGCCGCTGAAATCCCATAGGATGGGCCCTAGAGTGATCAACCATTTGACTCCTAGGACGATGCCAAATTCATCCAAGGAGAGTATGAATAAATCAGCACGGAAGGATTCTGATCCGACTTGAATTTCAGTGTCTTTGTAGATACCGGGGCAGTGAACTCTTTCCCTGTTGGCCACGACTACCTGTAACTGCGGTCTGATTTCCATCGGTAACTCTAACCGACGGGCAGCCTGTTCACTGACGAAGTTGTGGGTGCTTCCGGAGTCTACGAGAATATGAACTGGTTGCCCTGCTACCAGCGCCCTTAGTTGCATGGTTTGGGAAGTTTTGATTCCCGTGATGGCGTGGAGGGAGATCTCTGGTTCTGATGCTGCAGGTTCATCCTCGTCCTCTTCGGGTTCATCTACTAGAAGACAGAACAACTTCTTGCACCTGTGCCTAGAGGAGTATAGATCATCGCAGTCGAAGCACTGCCCTCTTGCGCACCATTCTGCCATCTCGGCTCGGGACAACCGTCTGATGGGGGGTGCTGTCCTACTACGTCCTACACTTGATGCCGATCTGGATGGGTTACCGGTAGGAGGCCTTTGTTCCCTGCTGGCGGTTGAAGAAGGAGACACTCCTACTGTCTTCGAAGGTGCCCTGGTCGTTGCCGGCCGTCCTATACTAAGGTTTCCGTGGGCGAGCTGCATTTTCCGCTCGAAGGCACGCGCGAGGTTCATTGCTGTGACCAGGTTAGGAGGATGTTGCATCTCTACGTCCACTCTTAGGGGTTCTACTAACCCTACTGTAAACATATCTACTTGCTGATCTGCGCGAACCGAGGTTGCTCTGGCGAGAAGGGTTTGGAACTGGCGTTGGTATTTTGCCACGGTTCTAGTTTGCTTGAGGTTGATTAACTCGCCCAGCGGGTTGCTTGTCAACGAGGGTCCAAACCTGAGGAGACAATATGATTTAAACTACCCCCAACTGAGCTCGGGTTCTTCTTGCTCCAGTCGGTAGAACCAGAGCTGTGCCTCTTCTGATAGGTGGAAGGCGGCCAAACTGACCTTATCATTGTCATCAGTGCGCTGATTACGGAAGAAGTGTTCGTAGTGATACAACCATCCTAACGGGTCTCCAGTGCCGTTGTAAGACGGGAATTCCAGCCGGCTATACTTGGCAATAACTGCGGCTGTTGGGGCAGCGATCTGCTGTTCGCTGGACGTCTTTGCCCAGTCCGGATGGCAACTGTTTGTGGTGGCGGTTCCCTCATAACTTCTTTCTTTGTTGGAGAGGAATGTTTCCAGTAGGCGTCGCAGCTCCCAAACATCATCCTTGACTTCACGAACCTCCATGCTGGTTTCTGTGAGCCTATGCTCCAGTTTGTGGACCCTGGAAGACAGCGGCTCCTATTCCCCCATGACGGTAGGCTCTGATACTAGAATGTTATGGGCCCGCGCGTAGGATCGCGTCACGGGTTGGTCCACGGGGAAAACCTCTTGCTTCCCCTTGCGCCTTCCCTTGCGTGCAGACCCTATTGTGGAAAACCCAATGGGTGATTTGTCCAAGAGACCATCCGAACTCTCCTCACTCTTCTCTTAATTGGAAACTGAATGCTTTATTCCATATCACAGCTCCTTAAATAGGAGATTGCAAGAGGGGGTTCCTTATTGTATTCGGCTAGGCTAGGATAATCCCTCTCTAAATCAAACTCAAACTCCTACTTCTAATGGTAAACAAACTCCTACTTCTAGTGGTAAACAAAACTCTTACTAAGWACATAAGATAAGATAAGGATAGATGGGATAAGGGATAAGGTAAGCTGGTGGTGAGTTGGCAAGAAGAGCTGTCATGGAAAGATAAGTGTGGGCCCCCTGATGAGCTGTTGTGTGGGCCCCTCCTCATTGCTGCTGCCGGCGGTGGCGGTAACGCGTTCCCATTAATGCATCCATAACAATCTTCTATCCTCAACATCTCCAGTGCATCAATATCCAATGTTTTAAAACATAGAGGCGTGATGCAAGGCATTTTACTCAATAGAAGCATGAGGTGTAGGTCACAACGTAAGAGGTGTAAGCCTCCCGAGTACAAGGAGGCATAAGCCTCCTTAGGAGGAGGGGGATGAGGAGGAAGGATGATCTCTTTTCTTTTTTTGTTTCTTTAGTTATGAATGATATCTTGTATTAAGAAGAATGCAGATGCATAACACTAGTGATAGTGGGGATCTTATCAAAGCAGAGGTGAGTGAGTGGAGTGAATGAACTGGAGCAGGGACTTATTACACATTTGGTTACCTAGTTACACTAGCTGAAAGTGCAAGCTGGAGTGATGCATGTGATTGAGATGGGAAATAAGGGGATGGAGGCACTAGAAGATCTTGAATTGTTTGATCAAAAAATTTATAAGAAGATCAAAAAATACTGAGCACCATGTCTGTCAACAAAAAAGCATCAGCTTTAGCATTATTTGTGTTGATTTTACCCTAACAAATAAGAAAATAATAAAAAGAAATTAGTATATAAACACACAAAATGAATGTATTTTAATAATGTTTATTTTATAATTATAAACTCAAATAATTAAGAATATAAATGTATTTTATAACAAACTGTACAAAACTGCTTGGTTATTAGGCGAACAGAGTTGATTAAGGAACTGAATATACAGAAGTTAGTTGTTGAAGGCGGCTCAAAGCTGTTGTTAAGCTGGTTACAGAAGGAAAGTGGACTTTGGAAATTTGCTAATGAAAGGAAGTAAATTAAACGGCTAACTAGGGCGCCGGATATCCAGTTTCAGTGGGTGAAAAGAACAGCAATTGCATTTGCACATGCTTTAGCAAAACAGGGGGTGGGAAGTAATCAAATGTATTTGGCTGTATTGTAAGTTTTTATGTTTCTCTGGAGGGCTGTATTGATAAAAAAAAAAACAAAGGATTAGACAAGGCGAGCTTCCATGGGGCACCTTGTCCCCTAGCTGTCACATTGACAACTATGAATGAAAGATGAACAAGAATAGTGGCTGAAGAAAGAATAAATTTTTACGATACAAAGGAATTCAGCAAAGTGATTTGAAGTTGACTGAAGCTCTGATCACAATCAACATCGTCATTATCGTCGGAATCTTCTTGTAGATTTCATACTATCTTGTTGTGAATAATGTTGTAGATTTCATACTATCTCGTTGGGTGTATCAATACTAGTCAATCTATTTCTCTAATGAGAAAGGTTCCTTTTATAATGACAAAATCATCTCAAAATTACAACTTCAATAATTAACTATTTTTTCCAAAAATGTTATGCTAGTATTAATTTAGCAAATATCGATATAATTGTTGAACTAAACATCACTTGGGATATTTGAATTACTAATAGGTTTATGAACACTAATCAGGTGACTAGATTTGAATTTAGTTTGTGATGTGGTATTTATTGTAATCTAGACTTTCTCCCTATGACCCAAGGTCTTCAGCTTATTTTCTGTATGTGGTTTCTATTTTTTTACTTTTGTCTTGATGGTTTCCTCCCTAAAGAAAGGTAGATGCTGAGAAAAGGATTGGTATTTAACTGGGTATGTTGGTTGATTATGGTCAAACCATATGTTGCTACTCCAATCAGTACTTTGTATGATGTGTTTACCTTCGTTACAAATTAATTTGCCATATATGAAACCATATTATATTGATAATTTCTATTTTTTGGGGCGTATGTCTTATATTTTATATTGGAGAAATATTTATGCTAGTGATGGAATAATTATGCAACATCTTTGTCAGTCTTCTGTAACTTTAGTTCTGTGGATTGTGCCTTTTTTGAATGTCAACTTGAAAGGCATCTTTTATGACAAACAGGTTCGTATGGTTACTGGTGACAATATCAAAACAGCAAAGGCAATTGCTTTGGAATGTGGGATTCTTGGTTCTGATGCTGATGCCTTTGAACCAAATCTCATTGAAGGAAGTGTATTCCGTGCCATGTCTGACAAAGAAAGAGAGGAAGTAGCTGAGAAAATATCGGTACAATCTTGAAAATTATAAGATTTAGGCCTTTTTGGTCTTTTCTTGGTTGATAGCATAGTCATCTGTTTACGTTGCCCATTATAGGCATGAGACATTAGTTTGACTTGGATGTGCAGGTAATGGGAAGGTCTTCTCCAAATGACAAGCTTTTATTAGTGCAAGCATTGCGGAAGAGGGGGCATGTTGTTGCTGTGACTGGAGATGGAACTAATGATGCTCCTGCATTGCATGAGGTTTGATTTTTTTCTTGAACTTCTGTTTTTTTGGAAGTAAGAGATTGTATCCAGATATAATCGTGAACGTGATAAGGTAGAAGAGAAGTAGTTGTAGGTGCAACTTAGAATAGCTCTATATACTATAGATTGGTAACAAAACACTTTTATTGAATGAATTGAGTCTTTTTCACAGCGCAGAATGGATAAAGATAGAGGTGTAAAACGGCCCGACACGAATTTGGATCGGTAGGACAGTCCGTGGGCCGTGCTAGACCTGACATGATTGTGCGGGTCGTGCTGGGCCTGGAGTTTTAGGTCCACGGGCCGGGCCGGCATGGCAAGACTGAGCGGGCCGTGCCGCCTGCGTACCGGCATGGCCCGGCCCGCAGCACGGCCCGACACGACCCATATATATTATTTATATATTTATATAATATTATATAAATTATAATTAT